GTAGATGTCCGGCAAACGTGAACAGGTGGCCTCCCTTGGGAAGGCCTCCATCACAGCTAGCAGGAGGAGAAATAGGATGAACCAGGGCATGACGTCGGGCTGAATCTTGAGGCCGTTTGATAAGACCTGGCTTGTGCGAAGATGCCTCTTAAATCAGCCACCTGATTTTTTTTACACAAAACAAAACAACAAATATAAAGTGACTAAATAATAGAAAAATATATGTATATTAGGTGGCGTAATAATTTGCTCACTCAATTTATAATGATTGTTTACAAGAAAAAATGAATGAAAGGTGAACAAGCAACCATTCCGTAAGGGAAAAAAATATTCTATTAGATTGTGTCTTATACACAATATCAATGTAGTTTAGTGGAGCAATGAGCGTTGGGATAAAACGGCTCAGCCTCAGTGCAGTTATTACAGTCACGTCTTTCTCCAACCTTCACGACAGTTAAACAGTAGAGGAGCTATTTTTTTCATTTTTTTTTCTTCCATTTCTCTCTCGTATTAACCGCGCTCAATTTGAATCCTATCCTCCTTTTACTTTCTCCGCTTACTAATAAAGGAACAAAAACAGTGACGCCGACTAGTAGAAATTTTCATTTTCACCAGAACATCAATGCCATGACAGGTCGGGCACTAAAAATTATCCGACAACAGGAATATAATTGTATTAAAATGTAGCTCATCATATTTTTGGCTTTTGATCAGTTACAAGGATTAAAAATCGTGGAAAGGTTACTCTCATCAATCGAAGACTTCAAAGGGGTTACACTCCTTATCTTAGTAACCCCTTTGTCTATCAATATAATATTAACATCTACCATTTCAGCTTTCCAAGCCGTTCTTTGCACGTTTTTTCTACACATTTTCCACGCGATATCTCATCAGTTTACAGAGAAATTAAGGAGGTACGGAATAAGCAAAAGGAGGCGAGAGAATGAAACAAGTTTTCTTAGTGATTTTCAATTTTTCTTACCGCTTAAACCTTATAATCTGCGAAATTCTCGAGAGGTTTGCTTGGACAACAAAATGTGGCTGCCAAAGGAAATAAGAGGAGACCAAGTGGAAGAACGTGAGAAAAAGAGAGGAAGGAAAAGAAGAAGGAGAACAAATGCAAGGAATAAAATTTTTAAAAAATAACAAAAAATGAATAAAATCTAGTTGAAAAAAAATTATTATTGTCTTTACATATAGGAAATAAATAAATTATAATGTTTAATGAAAATTTTCGCCTATAATTATTTATTCAATTCCGGTAATGATACTCACTTTTTAGTATCACCGATGAAATAAACAGCACTAAATGACTATCCTTTAAATTGCTGAGTGAAATTTGTATGTATCCCCTTTTGCGGTTTAGTCACTCAAAACAATGCAACAATCACACGTGAATTCACAGCCTCCCGTCGGATATCCGGCAAGATAATCAAGCCTTCACTATTGTTTTTTCACACTACTACAGTTCTTGAGATGAATTTTAACATGTAAAGAGCCCTCTGAATTCAACTAAAATATTTAAAAAATCAAAATCCATAAAAATAGGCAAGATGAAGGAATTTAACTCAATTATAAAGACAATGAATAAAACTAGGATGTAGTGAGTGGCCTAGATAGGATGAAAAAAAAAAGAAAAGACAACACTGAATATTCAAAATTTGAACTCAAAATGAAATTTATTTAAAGAGCAAGAGAATAACATAAAGAAAAATAGTTACTTTTTATACTAGAGCAGACTAGATGATAAAAATATCGACAAAAAAATAAAATGTATGTCGAATGAGGAAAGTGCCACCACTAAATTATATTTCCTAGGTGAGAGAGCACCGACCACTGGATATATTCTACTGCGGGGTACAGGGGATGAATGATTCTGAATATTCCAGGTCTATACGTAAATCTCTTGCGGGAGCTGAACACGTGCACATTGGCTCAGCATTTTACACATATACACACACAGAAAGGAAGCAGGCAACGTTGTAGCTTCTCGACTAGAGAAAACTGGTTGTTCGCACTGTATGCTCTATACACGACGTTGGCATCGGTTATCACGTGCTTCCACAAGAAGAAAGAATTCTTATACTGCTGACTCTGCCCTATATTTAAGCTCAACTTTTTTCAAGCTCTATAAAAAATTTTCAATATTATCATTCATCACACTTTGCTAAATTCCTCGTACACTTGCCAAGTAATTTCGTTTGATTTGTTAGAACATGCAATGCTCAATCGGATTCCATTCGAAAAATACTTGGAGCAGCTATTGTTTTTCCCTCTCGTTTGTTGGTGTTGTTTTTTTTTTATTCTGTTGCAAAGGTTTTTCTTTATTTTCTATTCACCAAACTCGCTTTTTTCTCTGCAATGTAGTGTGCTGAGAATCACCTCAAAGAGAAATTCCATTTAGTTGAGATCCATCTCAAATATGCTCAAAAAACAGGAGTGAGCACTATTATGTCCTCTTTGCCTTCATTCATCCACCTATCCACCCACTCACTCACTCACTCACTCACTCACTCATTTGCGCCAATTCTTTATCTCTTTTTACAAGGAGAGAAAAATATGGACCCCTTGTCGGAGTAGTGTTCTTCGTTCGTTCCCTGTCGACTTTACAACTCGTGTTGAATCGGCACCGATCGGGCGGGCCTGCTGCAAGTACCTGTACACCCTTCACCGCTTGCCTGGCTTGTTTGTGTACATCCACACGAGACAATGAGACGCTCCTCGAAGAAGGATCTCGTGGCGTTCTCACTTGAATGTCTCTCAAATAGATAGAGCAAATTATAATTCACCTCAGTAAAATTATTCTTTTAACTCTATCAACATTGAATTCGAAATCGTATCTTCTTGTCCAACACAAGTTTTTTCAGACGTTCAACTTGATTTCGGATGAAAGTAAGCGATTGTATAAAAAATACATTATCACTAGATTGACATTAACAATTTTGGTGCACAATCATATTAGAGTTGATGAATTGTTCTCACAGTCACAGGAGCATTCAAATCAACATTATTATTATTATTATTATTATTATTATGAAATTGATCTCTCACCCTGAATGAGGCATTGAAAATAATGAAATCACACGGGTTACACGAGAATTGTCAATGGCACCACTCTTAAATTTTGTTATTATTTCGTAAATATATTAATTAAATGATGTGGTATGCCGCGGTATACGTCCGTGATTTTTCTCGTTTCGCGGATATACAAGAATACCGAACGTCCGCTCCTCGAACGTCTGCTCGCTCCTCTGTTGGCGGGCTTCGAATGACCAACTCCGTTCTCTCAACCACGCAACTGCGCGCGCGTTTGCGACTCTCTTCTTTCTTCGTTACACATATTTCCCTCTCTTTCCATTAATGCAAGAGAGATAGCAAATTTCAACATTCCACTTTGAATAATGCGCAAGCCCCAACTTGTACTTCCTGAAGTATTACCAACACCACAGATTTTACTCCTGTCATTGGTGATGGGAAGAGAAGACATAAGAGAAGAGAAGAGATGGCTAGAAAGATGATTGTCCTTCACCTCATACCATGTGCTCTTTATTCATTCATAAAAATCCTATTTGCATCATTGATTATTATTATTAATTACTACATTTTTGTGTCGTTTTCTCAAGCATTTAATAGCAGGAACAAAGTTTATGAATGAGCCAACTGGTGGAAAAAGAGAAAAGAAAAAAAATAGTTGGAGACAATTCGATAACCAGTAGAAAGTTTTTAAACTACGTGATTTGAATCTAAGGGAAACTCAACGCAGAGAAACAGTGCAGGAATCTATGGGGGATGGTCCAGTGTGCGGCTAAAGTCGGTCGCCTCCAGCCATTAAAGTCGCTTTATCTAAAAAGACTTTTGAAAGTGTAACACTGAATAAAAAGATAGTAGACTTACTTTAGTGAGGCTGGAGTAAAGGAGGAAGAGGAAGAGGTCATATCTTTCCTGTTTATCGACTCTATGAATGTACTTTTTTTTTCTTCTCCTCCACATTCTCTTTCTACTCGAAAAATCTCATCAATCCAACGAATAATATTAGCTTAATTGTTGACGTTTTATTTATTTTACCATCAAGTCAGTCTGACTGGGAGAGACTGAGGCATTCGACAACTAAATAATTCAGTACAACTTCCATCCACGTGGGGATTGGTGTCAGAGCTGCGTGTCTTGTACATATATCCGGAACGTAGCAGACAGTTCAACCCGCAGATATACCATTCCTCTGTTGGGGCAAATACGTATACTATATGAGTGTAGACGCCAGCCTGACTTTCAAAGACAGCCCACTACACGCCATGTCCAACCACAGGTCCGAGTATTGAACTTTCTTGGTGTGATTAAATATTTAATGTTAACGATCGATAAAACTCCCGTTTTCATATATCCCTCGACTTCCTATTCTCATCCTCGACACATCGACACAGGCTTCCCCCTGTCTGACCAACCCATGTATCTCCTCCACTATTAATTTGACTTTACCATTTCGTATTCTCTCTGTTCCTTTATCACTCGTTGTAGTATAATTAGGGAAATTAAGATTTTTCATCTATAATGTACCACAATGCACTCATTAGATTATGAATTATTATAATTGAATAATTACTACATTAACGTGAATGCATATAAGAATAGGGCTCTTTTTAAAAACGTCCATTTTTACACTCAGTACTATTTTTATTGGCACTATTTCAGCTTTAACGACACTATACCCCTATACATGACTCGTGTATGATATGACAATGAAGAAACTAGAAAAGAAACAGATTTTCTAATTATAAACCGGAACAATGAAAAAATAGCTGAAATGGATATAAGTGGTTTCTACGTATAGACCAAGACATTTTTAGACCTCATGTGTCCATTGAATATTTTACAAGATAAGAGGCGCGCACTCTTCTTTCATAATGTTACACGATAATATCACATTCTGTCATACGCTCCAAATATCGATTAGAGGTTTGAAGAGAAAATGTTAAAATTAAATGATTTGCAATTAAGAAATATTTGGTTGTAGCAAAGTAAACTTTATTCAAATTAGGTCAAAGAAATGGTAAATGTTTATTTTTCATTCGTGATAATACCATTGGACTTTTAGAAATTCAAGGCCTGGAGTAGAGCTGAACGATAAAATTGATACCGTGGCCCCGTTGACTCTTGAATTTGATGGTAACATTATTCTGGTCAGGTCCACCTTTGAGGATTCTTGCGTAGGCTCCATTTCCATTGATCTTCTGATCTAGAGCGACAACCTGAGTAATTCTTTCATTCCTTGCGGCATAGAACGTCTTTTGCACAGTGACAATCTGCCACAGTTTTGATGACTTGACAATATTCTCCTGATACGTTAGAGAATCACCTGGGAGTCTTCTGCCAACGAACAAGTGATGACTTTGACTGTATGCGTATGATGGTGAATAATTTGTGAAAACCACAGTCACCAGTATGACTAAAAAGAAGGCACACTTTGAATACATTCTTGATAACTCAATAGTCACACCCCTGATTGTACAATACTAACTGTGAGACAATCCAAGGTGCAAAATTTATATTATCATAAGATGACAGCTCTTATCAGCTATACCTATCTTATCGCAAAAATTTATCTCTTCTACCATTTCTTTCCTTCAAATAACAAAGTCCGAAGCTTTATCTTAGGTAAATATCACATTGATCATCATTAACAAATATAACGATCACATGAAATAATCAATTTTTTTTTCTTTCAAGTAAAACTCGTACTAATAGACCGCGTTCATCATCATTATCATAACCATTATCTCCTTCCTTCATAATTTAGAGCAATTATTCCACATCAATGGATCAAGTATTATATTTCAAAAGTTTGGCCTCCAATTATTCACCAATTTATATTCTCCAATCTCTCATTATTTTCCACTAATGATAAATTTCAATTACTGAGTGAGTTTACGTTTCACATTGGTCGGACATTATAGTAGACATTATGAAGAGGAATGAATAACCATAAGATAACTCCTCTCCTCTATTATATTTGACCAGATTTGTCGCTGATGCTCCAAACCGCAATTGGACAAATGATCACATTTTGAATGAAATTTTTACTTTTGAAGAAAAAAAAATGAATACTGATTTTTGATTGATTTTTGTTTTTCATCAAACATTTACGTATTTGGTTATTTTCGTTGAGATGGAATAAAATTTAATCAAGTTGAAATTGCTTCATTGAAAATGTTTAATTGGAAATTTTCTTGCAACGTATATTTCCCATGGCTACACTCAGTTTATAAAAAAATTCACCGAGAATTGAATAATCTAATTGATGGAAAAAATGATAAAACGTGGAATGAAAAAATTACATCATGGATGAATCAACCTGAGCAGATTGATTGGAAAATGATTTTATTTCTAGTTTTGCTCATAATAACTATGTGAGTTATTATCCATTATCAACATTGCTGTGATTAAACATTCTAGTTGAATAATAATAATAATAATAATAATAATAATAATATTTTCATCACCCCAGTGGTACTATTATACTGCAATGGTACAATGCTTTACCATCAAATCCGGGCAATTCAATTGTACATGAGGATAATGAGAATGAGCAAACCTACATGGAATATTCTCAATTCATACCTAAACCCCTGGAAATCAATAGAATCATCAAGGTAAAAAATTATTATAGGAGAATTATTTTAGGATATAACATGTGTGCATTTTACAGGCTAGAAGAATATTAAATTTCTTGGAAATGGAAAATTATAGTCAATTTTACATTGTATCACTCGGTATTAACGGAACTGGAAATTCATCTCTACAAATAAATGAAATATTTGATACCACTGATAGTCCCGATGACGATAAAATACAACGTATGATTGAATTTAAAAGCATTTTGGACGAAATAATTGACAGAATCGAATCGCAGTCAAAAAAAAAGTCTCAAAGAAATATGCCTCCTCCATTGGAGGATTCAAATTTAGAATGGCGTTCATCTAAGATCGGCTCCAAAATACCTTTACTGAGATCTCGTCAGCGCTAAGTAACAGATGAAAAAATAACTTTATCAAATTTATTCAATTTATTATTATTATTATTTATATTTTTTATATATAAGATTCAAATACAAGGAGAAAAATAAACATTTTCACTGCCCCTGGTCACATTAACTATGTACAACATTATTCAATTCAATGTATTTATTCTCTATTATTGGTTTATTATTCAATGAATTATTGAAGTCATCTTACGGTATATATGCTTATCTTCCTATTTGTTGACGAGAAATTCATTGTCTTGTCAAAAGTGATTCTCACTTGATTTGATATTAATTGAAAAAATGGAATGTATCACATTGAATAATTCATGTAGGCAAGACGCCGCCGCTGCATCCACTATTTTTCATACACTTGTGTATAACCTTTGAAAACATTGTTCGTGGGAGACTTTCAAGTGCTAGGAAATTTTTTTATTAGTTTTTAGTGTTGATAAATTAACATAAATTCAACTGATTTTTCCATAATTCCATGAGCGACTCATGTGTCGTTCAAAGAATTGGTTATCTTCAAAGAGTGGAGTGGGGGCATGATCGCTTCCTCTCCCCAATTCTATTCTTTTTACATTGCGAATACAATTGTGATATCACTCAGGCACGTTTCTCAATAAATACGTTTTTTCTTGTTGCGTAGTTTTTAACCACTGTCTATGTTCACATGAATACGGATAGATTGGAACAACCATAACACTTATATCGTCTACTGACGCCATGGGCAAATATTCTTCCTCATTCTCCTCAGCTTTTTCTGGTTTACCTCTCCAAATCCGACCAATTAAGCGGCCTCTCGCTGCCTGTACCAGTTCTTGAGCCCCCATAGTCAATCTACAATCATAAGAGAGGCTGACTGAGTTTTAGTTATTATTAGACTTTTTTCCTACGACAATAAGGTATTAATCAGCAAAAATACCTGTATTCGAGGGAGGGCGTGTCCGGTGCAAGTGTTTTCCGGAGAATAGTTCCGGCATCTTTATTACTTACAACATCCCACAATCCGTCTGTTGCTATTATCACACAATCCCTTTCTGTGAGTTGATAATCATCTAACCTGAGGCACTGTATATCCGGTTGAGAGGATAAAAATGGCTTAATACTAACACCGGTACTGGCTGCTTTTAATCCGTGATCACCAAATCCTCTTGTAACCCCAATTGTTCCCATAACTCGACTCTGTTTAATGATGAAAAAACTAATGATTTTTCAATGTCCAGTCTATCATTTATTATTACTATTTACGATTCACGATAGGAATTACCCTTTTTCCATGACCGGATACAAGTGGTAGTTTCAAATCATGATGTGTTAAAAGTTTATATGTCCAACCGGTCATGTAAGGTTCTCGATAAAGTACCATTGAGCCCAGTTCTCTTTCTAATGGACGCTTACGAAATTCCAATGGTGTGAAATAGCCCTTCAACAATTCACCACCCTTTAGTGAGCCCAATGCCCTAACCCGATTCGACTCAGAGTCTGGTGTATGATCGGTGGTCAATGCGCGCTCATCATTTCCATGAACGAAAACAGTCCTGAAAGAAAAGTTACAAAGAACAAGCAAAATAAAGACATATATAATATTTTTTATCCATTTATTCCAACCTCGAGTCCCCGGCACCAGCGGCATACAAGAGGCCATTTAAGAATAAAACTGTAAGTGCTGTACATCCACCACCACCATTTTGCGCCTGATGCTCAACTAGTTGATCCATCTGTTTATATGCCATTTCAATAGCTCCAATAACAAGATCTCTCCCCCTTATAAAATTATCTTCGCTGTCATTGAGCAGCATATGACCAGGAATAGCTTGCAATCGTTCCTAATAATAATTCAATTTTTGTAAATCAGCAAAAATATTTCATTACTGTCGTCATATGTAAAGGTCAATTTACCAGGATGAGTCGATGAAGATGTAGTCTAGATGTAAGTGCCACTTGATATCCAGCATGTCCATCAAACATTGAGAATATGATATAAGGTAGTGATACATCTCTGTCCGATAATGATAAATCTCCTCTTGTTGCTGCTGCCTGGTCCTCGTTCCATGTACTTTTTCCCGCATTTATGCATTCTGCATATCCAGCACACCATGGTAAACGACTCAGATCCCTTGGAACTATTATAGGCCTCACTCTGTGATCCGCACTCACCTAATTCGACAAGAAAGAAAATTGAAAAAAAAAAAAAAAAAAAAACATTATATACCACTGAACGTATCATATTAATCAGTTTGATAAAATTGGCTGAAAAACTCACCTGTGTCTCTTCATTTGTAAGACCTAAGAAGCATGGTCTACTGTAAGGTTTTGCCTCAATCTCCACATTTGAATTGACATAATCGGTTGCAATTTCATTTTCTGAATCATTGTGATATTGTAAGCCAAGCTCATTACCAGCCACCGCATTTATCAATACTGACTTGAATCGATTAAACATCTTTGGATTTGGTCTTGTGATATAAGGCCTCGTCAATCAATTTTTATGATATTTTTTATGTAAGATAAAATAATTTATCATATAAACTAGGCCAAAACAATTATTGGAAAATTATTTTTAATTATTATGCATAACAGATAGTCTTTTTATAGAAGATGGTTTTTCCTTCCTTTTCGAGTAGAAACAAATAAGTTGTAATTTTTTTTTTCATTATTATTTAAAAATCATTGTAAATGAACAGTTAACGTCAGCTGTCAACCACGCCACAGTTAAATTCTCAGTCTCCCGTACATATTATTTCCAACTTTTATTTTTCGGACAACTTTGACAACTTTGATAAGGATTCATATGTATAAATTACACATGAAACATTCATTCACAATTAATCAATTAATTTCAAATATAGGTTATCCCATATGACATATAACAGGATTTGCACATCCAAAGGGAACTTCTTTACACCAACATCACCATTGTTGAGAAAGTTGATTGAAAAGATACCAGAGAGCGTGATAGTCATCATTGATTGAAGTTTTGATCCTACATATGGTACTAGAGATTTCTTTTCTTTACATTCAACTCGATTCTGCTGCACCGACATATAGCTAGCATATAATGGTTGGNGGGGGGGGGGGAGCTACATTTATTTTTCCACCACAGTAGCCCACGGTACGGTACGGTACGGTCTACTTTGAAAATGATGAGATATGGAACAATTGCGACCTACTATCGGTTAAACAGTGTCACACTTATTTTTATTCACGATCGGTCACTATAACTATTGTCATTCATTCAACATATCCTAAGAGACTGGAAACGCTAAATATCAAAACGCCACCTATGAATGGCGGATATTGGGCTGCACACAGCAGTATGCAACCCAATTTTGGCTTGTGTTAGCGTGTATATGAGAAGCCTAAAATCGTCCATTTGGTGAAAACGAGCGCCGCCATCGGTAACTAGCGGTCCCAATACGGCTGTTGGATTGTGGACTTCAAAGAGGATAGACTAAAGTAGAGGCTCAGATCTCGGGGTTTCGGTGACCCCAAGCCAAAAATAGTACGACCCCAATGGAGGGATGGCGCCACGGTCGAATCTCACGGCTCGGCGAACTCCCTTATGTATAGATATTCCGAATTTTTATTTTTTTCCTCATTGAAGTAGTTTTGAAGAAAATTGCGAGCTAATAAATAATATTTGCTAGTTAGTACTTTTTTTTAAATAAATTTTTGAAAAATCATCCCTGAAAATAAAATCAACTCATACAAATGTAATACGCTTACGGCAAGCTAGCAGAGAAATGATTCTAAAATGGGGCAAAAATCAATTTTTAATGTCGGATAATTTGAAGCTTGTTAGCCGCTAATATTTCACGTTTCAAACAAATTTTTGAAAAATAAAACTCATTGAGTTTTTTCAATTAAAGGGTGCATTTTCATGCTTATAAATAAAAAGAAATTTTCTATCAATTGTATTTTCAAGGAAAATGGCTTGTTGCAAACTTTTTTTACAAGTTAGAAGGAAAAATTCTTAAAAATACTATTTCTAAAAATACTATTCGGCAAAATCGAATTTTTTCGCCAAGTGAATATTTCATTATTAATAATCAAATGTACCACACACATGAATAAAAATGTAAATACCGTCGCATTGTGTTAATGAATTGAAAATTGCAAGCCCATGCAAGTGATGAGAGGGTGTGGCGATCGGTCATGAATATAATGGGGACCAAACCTCTACTCAGGGTGTTGTTTGTAGGCAAAGTCAACACGTTTGACTTTCCCCACTGCAATGGCCTGCCTTCTTGTATGTTCTTTCTTTCTTTCTTTAACTCTTCTCATCTTTCATCATTGAATTGATTCTCTATTTTTTAACAAATGTATCAAGTCCTGGAATAGACCGAATTATTAACCCTCCAATTTAATTCTTTCACACAGTCAACATTTTATCAAGTGTTTGAGTGTACGCATTGCTAATAGCTTGAGGCGAGGCATGATGTAATTTTCAGAGAAAGTACTCCATGATTATGTCTCCGTTTTATTTTTCTTCATTTCAACGTGTAAGGCCAGGGTTTTTCTCTACAAATTGTTCTAAATGTTGTGTACAGAAAGGGCGACCAAAAATTTCAGGATCAATTTATCTCTAGCTGATTGATTGCTGGGAAAACCATCTATTAATTGTGCCGATGATTCCAGTTGAATAAATCTTGCATTTCAAGAAACCCATTTTTTGTTCTCTATTGGCAATTACGTTATTGCTATACATGAGTGAATCACCCAATATAACATGAAGATGTTTTATAATTATCATACCGGTGTTTCTGTTTGAAAATAAAAAGGATAAAAAATTGTTCATAAAAGAAATGTAAACACCGTAAAAGGTAAATGGAGAAAAGTACCGCACGCCAATTAACATTCTTGTGGATAGACTATTCTTTGTGATATATCGATCCTAGCTCATTTATTGGCGTGGAATTCATTCATCTGCTTTGTCCATAAATCAAATCAATAAATATAAAAAATAATGAGTTTTTGGAGTAAACGAAACGAAACGAAATGAAACTCTGAATTAACGAAATGATTAATGTGAATTGGAACATATCGAGTCCTGTAGCTCGTTCGTTCATATTCATGTGAGTATTGAGCATTATCCCACCAAGTTTCGAGATTCCACTTGTGTTGCATCATTGCATCAATAGGGAATCCTTGTAAATAAAATCACATAAATTCGAGTAATTTTACTCTCATCAAGATAAAGGTGAGAATTGCCAAATGAATTTATATCAACTGCACTGCAAAAAACCGTCGCCCACTCTTTACAATGGCTTTATTTACAATTTATTTTTATATGATAATAATTCTTTGCTCCAACAAATGTCTATACAAAATTCAAGTCTTGAATACAATTGGGGAGAATGGGGCAATATAGGCAAAAATTTGCTTTTTTTTTTTTCAAAATTCAAATTATTGAAAATTGTTTCATTGGACAATATGGACACTTAATAAATCTCAAAAAATTTTCAATAATCGAATTTTGAAAAATTGCTTCTTGGCAAAGTCCAGCACCGAAAAATTTGGGCATTTGAACTATTAAATGATTTTTTAGGAGATTCAATAGTTTGCACACCTTCTATCAAGCCCTTCTCTACCCGGCTGATGAGCCCATCTTTGACGCTCTTGGCTCACTTGTATCTTCTTGTGTTGGCGGTAACTCTCTTACTATGTAAGCACGCCTCTTCAGCCAGGACTCAGTACGAATCGTGCTCTCTAACTTGCAGGACCAAAATAACCGACATCCGTGGAAGTGAGATTTTCAAGCTGTCGATGAATTCAATTCTGCCAGCCATGGGAGTTGGATTTTTACTTTTCCTGGGACTTTTCACCCTCGGATACACTGCCAGTAAGTTGGACAAATATCTGGCGAAGTTTTACCCAACTTGATGATATATTTACAACGTGAAAGCCAATATATCTATCATTCAGGATTTTATTTCAATCGTACTCCGATTAGTTGATAACAATCAATTGTAGTAAGGAAAATAATATATATTTGGTTACAATTGAAGGTATAATAATTTCAAAACTCTAGGATGGTGCATTGTTAGATACCACATAGCTAATGTGAACATCTTCCGCAACTATGCAAATGACTATATTATAGCCGTAATTGGCGATGATGTCAACTTCAAATGCACAAATGAAACATAAGAAAATGATTTTTTCTTGTTGTAACAATAAATACATTAGTTATCAAATTTTTCAAGGCACAATTCTCTCTTTTTTTTACAAGCATATTCACGGCAACAAACTCATCCTCAACGAGAAATTCTCTGTTATACATCATCAAATGATTTGAGACAGTTGGAGGATTCAATTTCCAGATGTACGACGCTTGTGCATAAAGGTCATGATCTTCAGGATTTCAACACTTCCGGTAAATACGACAAGAAAAATATTTATTTTTTATTTTTTATTTTTATTTTCAATCAATAGTATATTCCAATCATTTTCATTCTTTAATCATTAAAATGAATACAAAACAGTCGAGAGAAAAAAACAAAATGGAAAATCAAAATCAACTTCACTGTTCTTTCTAAAATTATTTTCATTAATAATTGCATAATAAATACAGAGCAATTTTCTCTTCCTTCGTTAACAGGAGAAAACCATTTACATTTTTTTTTCATCTGCTATGGTAACAATTTTGAAAGTAAAAGGTTATTATCGTCTGCTTTGTATGTACTGATGATTTTTTTGGCTTGACACGCTTGGAATAAGGAGCGTGTAGTGGCTCGATTTTTGCGTGTTTAATGAATTTTCCTTGTAACCAGAAATGGAAAAAATTATACCGTTTTTTGCATCAATCTCATCAGCTGAGATTTGTAGAATCATTTAGTTGAGGAAATCAAAGTTTTTTCATGCCATTGGAACTTGTTATAGCATTTTGAAGAATTTCAAATATTTATAATAGTGAATAGTGAATTCTTTCTTTCTCCTTGTTATCATCTCTACGTTTTTTATATTCTATACAATTATCCAAGTAAATGTGAACGACCTTATACCCTGCAGGCGAATAAAATACTTTCCCTTCGAATCATAAATACTTTGTCGCACTGACGCTTAAACTGCCATCCACATAAGGAAACCCTCGGTCAACAAACATCAAATACCACCTCAGATGAAAAAAAAAATGGCAATTTACAACTTGGGATATATACATCTCCAAGGCATGGTAGTAGTTGCGTAAATCTGAAATATATTTCTGTATACAATGGTATAGCGTTTGTTCAACTTTGTTGATGGATTAGGTATATGAGTTTGGCTCTGTGATACAAAAATGAAAAAAAAATGCCAATTGGAATTTCAGAATATCAAAGAACTATTCATGGCATATAAAACTGTATCAGTAGTATATCAAGTAATAAAATTGCAATAATCTGTCATGGAATTGAAGAGAAAAAAAAATCTATCCATAATAGCTTATCCATTATAATTAATTGAATGTTGATATTCATCTCAATGATTGAAATGGAATGTACCCCCTGGCAGAGGGACTATCGAGGACACCGTCTCATTGAGAAGAACATTACTCCAGTAACACAAAACTAAACTGTATGGATAATATCAATTTATTGATATTACCTAGTAATCATTAATGACATGATTCTGGAAAATACCATGAGATTTTAGGACGTTCATAATTGTAATTATTCGTGCTGATTGATATACATGACGTCATCATGACATTTGACACAGAGTCATGACGTCATGCATAAGTGCATCCGCCTGATGCATAATAATTTTTTTTCCATTTTTTTTGCTCGCATCACACTCACATCATTTGTATATTGCAAAGATATTTATTTTATAGTTTTACAAGAATAATTGAAACTTTTTATAATTTTCAGGCCTCCGTGGGATTCGTGAGTTGTTGAAAAAAGTCAATCCAGCTATTCAGTTTGTCCTTAGTATTGATGACCATAAAAAATCACTGAAAACTTCAGCAGGAGCTATACAAAAGGCAATCGCTAGGATTTCCACCATTTTCAATGAGGTATGTCGTATTAAGAAAAACAATGCAATAATATAATATAATATTAATTAATTATTCTTCTACTTAATACTTTGGAACCTGCAAATATAGTTTTTTGGCTAGTAGTAGTAGTAGTAGTTATCAGCGACCCTAACTAGCCAGTATTTTTCCAGAAACAATTTACTTTGAATGAATTTTAATTGTCAGGTCGATGGTGTGGAACTAAATCTAACAGCAGGCGCTAAAGAACGTTTAGTGCACTTTGTCCAGGGGTTAAAGGGAGAAATGATGAGAAAATCAGACAAAGGAAGGATTTTATTATCTTTGCCAACGAAAAATGAATTACTCGCAAAAGAGTTTGATTTAAAAAGTCTTGCTAAGTAAGAAACGTACAAGTTATTTTCAAATAACTCAAATGTTTAGTGCATTCTAATGATGATGTCCATCTTTTTTTTCAGATATGTGGATTTGTTCACCATCCCCACACATTATCTCACAAATGATGAAGACCTATTCAGAACTTTTCATCCGTCTAGACTGATGGGACTGTCTGATCTGTTGAATACAGATAACTTGGTGGATCTGATTCATGGTCTTGGTGTGGATAAGGAGAAACTATTAATTTCATTACCAGCGAGTGGATACAAATTTACTCTCAAAGATAGAAACGATAATGCACCGAGTGCGCCGACAATTGATGAAAAACCATCGATAATTAATCGGAAGGAATTTTGTAAAATGATTAAACAAGGAGAATGGATAATCGAACGAGACAGTGATCTCACGGCTCCTTATGTTTTTAATGGGTCAAATTGGATAGCATTTGAGGATGAAATTTCTACACGGATTAAAGTATTGCTCAGTCAATTTTTCCCCACAGTATGTCCATGTATAAAAAATATTGATTGTTGTTGTTTTTTTTTTAAGGGAAAATACGTTCTTCTTCGAGATCTCGCTGGTCTTGCGATAGATGAAATTGTAAATGACTTCAAGACCAATTGCGGAAGGGCTATTAGTGAGGTAGTCTACCATTCTTTCACTGATAATGAGAGAAAAACTCGGGAAGCTGTGTTGAATTCACTGGAAAAAGATATTCAAGTAAGCTATTATATATTGTACTGACTCTATTATCTATTTCTATGGCATTCATTAAATTTTTTCTTCTCTGTATGTTTTTGTTTTTTAAGAATCCAGAGAATTTATATCCAGTGAATGTAAAGCCCTCCGACTTCAGAATAATCCAAGTGGTTGATAGTTCAGGTAACGTTCGTGCTACCAGGGAAAATACACAAACTGAATTTACATGTCTGAAACAAGGTCATTTTGTACATCCAAAGAGCTGTAACAGGTAATTGGATTTCTAACACTATAATAATAAATCAATTGAATTACATTGATTGCATGGACATTAATTGAATATTGGTAAATAAGATTCTACCGTTGTGTGAAATTCAATCAACAAGTCGAAGACTACAGTGTATTTGAGTTCAATTGCCCAGAGGGTTTATCATTTGATGAACGGACTGAGGTATGCGTTTGGCCTGGATCATTGCCGAAAGCTTCACCTTGTCCTGGAAGTAGTGAAATTGCACCAACTGCTCCACGAAGATTCCGTTGTCCTGGAGAAGGTTATTATGCTGACCCTAACAATTGTAGATGGTTCTTTGCCTGCATGAATTTAGGTATTGATTATTTCAATATGATAAATTGAAACAATTTTCAGTTGTGATATATGTGCTTGCTTATTATTTATACGCTAGGTGAAGGTGACATGATACCATATGAATTTCGCTGTCCTTATGGATTGGTATTTGATGAGAGAAAATTAGTATGTGAATGGCCATGGCTTGTGCCCGCCTGTGCTGGTAAGAACTATGAGTATAATGGTGGCTATGGAAGCCTACATCCTGGTCTTTCAACTTTCCATGGCACTAGTCATGGAGAAGAAAATGATGGATCTATCAAATATTTTCAAGAAAACACACATCATCGACATGATGATTCTTATTCACAACACGGATATAACAACGGAGCAAGCAAGAATTATACGAGCACTATACATTCTTCTTCCATGTCAAATGGCTACATTACAACTGTCACAGAGAGTTCATCAATTTCAAATCTTTCTCCTCAAGATAATGATGATTTCACTTCAACACACACAGAAAAAAACCTATTGCAAAGTATGTCCAAGAACGTCGTTACCATATCATCCGTAGATTTAGTTTCAAAACTAAACAAATCAATGTCAAATGAATTGCCTATTCAGACAAGTAATTCTGGAGGTATAATAACAAGTTTTACTAGGAAAAATGGAAAACCCGGCTTCACCGTTTCCACCACCATCACCACCACTGAAAATGGTTTGAATAATGTATTATTCGATAATTATCAAAATAAAAAAATTATCTCGGGAAAAAATGCAATTACTACTGGTAAATCTATGCAGCCAGGATCTACGATTGCTATTGGGAATGAACATTATACGAATCAAGCCTATTCAAGTACTATTGGAATAAAATCCAAACCTAGAATGTCTGAAATTGGAATTCCATTCCAATACACTCCAGTGATTAATGATGGAATAACGAATTATAAATTCACCGGAAATAGTCAAACATCAATTCCTAATGAGATTCCACGTGGTGTAACTCCAACACTTTCTTCAAAGCAATCTGGATTCCGATATTCCCCAACTGGGGAGTTGAGTGGTCAAAGCAGGAAAAATCTCTATGACCACCAAAGCCAACAAACCCTGTCGAATGATTACACATCAGTACCGATACCCGAAGGAGCTAATGGGAATCAATTTTTTACAAATCATGCATCAAAAACACCATTGTACAAAAATAATCCATTCCTTCCATCAACAGCAGCGACATTCTTTCATCGATCAACAGATGAAAATCCATTTTTCTCAAATGATTCTTCCTGGCATTCATTATACAAAGGTAATCCATTCCTTCCTTCTGCAACTTCTGCAACATCTATTGGAGGAGCTCAAGGAAATGAAGGAATTATTGCAAATCATGCATCGAAAAATGATACAGTATACAAAGGAAATCCATTTCTTCCATCAACGCCAGCAACATCCTTTGAAAAAATTACAAGAAATCAATTTTTCACAAATTATCCATCTACTACAAATCGATTGTACCATGGAAATCCATTTCTTCCACCAACATCAGCGACATCATCTGGCAACAGATATTACACAAATCAAGCAGGAAATACTGAGGAAGCTTCATTATTATCACAATCTAACGGCAATGGTTATAAAACAAATGAATATTTTGACAATGGGGGCCGAGGCACAATTCGTTATAACAATGGTTTAATTACTCACAAATATACCGAGGATGATATTAAAAAAAATGGAAAAATACCATTTCAATCTCTGGCCCCATCGACATTTATAAATCAAACTTTTAGACCCATTGGTTTCACAAAAACTGGCCCAACTAAAACAGGAATAACAACAGCACAATTGGGTGGCAGTGGTACTTACATTCTAGGAACTACCAAGCCAGTACCAATATCTAATCAAAATAATGTGGAAACAAGCATAATATCCGAGAATATTTCTTCCCAACAGTATCCATCCTATGTAAAACCTTTGTTTGAATCCACAACTTCATTATATTATAATAATGAAATAAGAAGAATTACCACTCAAACACCTACTATCTACGACATTCATATGAATAATGATAAACCAATGCTAACTACTGAATCAGCAATAGTCAATACTCCCTCCTCTCCTGTATTATTGACTGCACAAAATTCATTACTAAAGTTAACAACTGAAACGCCTTTTTCTGATATTCTAGTAGAAAATAAAGCTACGATAACCACTGGACCGATAGTCGCTAATACTTTCTCGCCAGAATCATTCCCTGCACAAAATTCAAGACCTTTTTCTATTTCATCGACTGTTGAACAACCGATTGAATCCACCGATCGATACAGGAACAGAGTGTCGTCAACGTCAACACCTATATCCATAATTACTGATAAAAATAATCATGTTTTATTGAATGGACCAAATAGGAAAATTCCATCATCTGCTACCGAAAACTCTTGGAAAAATGATGAAATTTATAATTTAGATGATAAAAACAAACAATTTACACCCATACCGTCTTCAATGACTTTTAATAACAAAGGAGAAGAGACGAATTATGGCAAATCTACTCAGATAACGGATCAAGGATATAGCTATGAAAATGAGAGTAATACCTTTGGACAAAAAATTTTTCAAAATAAAACTGCATCCAATGGATTGAATCAGCAATTTGGTGCTTCTACCAGACCTAAGGTGAATATAACTTAATCATTTTATCAGTGATGAACTTTCGCAAATTAACTATTTTCAATATTAATATCATTATTGTACAATACATGTAGATTTACAATTCACCGTCGGCTACATTGACTGCATCAACTGGGGTAAATAATCATTTTATTAAATATATTAAATATATTAATTATTTATTTATATATTTAGATATTATGTATTTATTATGTATCTAGATGTACTCATCAAACCACAGAAAAACCTCAAAGAATCCAGCGACTAGTCCAAAAGATGATGACCACCACCCTTATCCTGCTCAACCTACATTAAAATCCATTAATGGTTTAGTTGACACAATTAGGGGTACTGTACAGCCGACTATATCATCTGAGGGAGGCTCTTCTTACAATAGAGGACATTCCAAATATAAACCGTATAATAATAAATACGACGAAAACAAAAACAATACGACGATAAAAATTACCACTCAAGCGCCTGCAGTGACTACCTACAACGGAGCCTATGGAGATTCATCATCACCAGCCCAATCATCTGGAATTGACAAGATTAATCAACTAGAGAAGAGAGGAAAAATAGTAGTAAAATACAGCGATTTACATCCTGTTCTTCTAGAAAAATTGGAGGCTGAGTGCACCTGCAAGTCCGATCCTTTTGCCGGATTCAAAAATAACAAGCCACTTTTGATAGATTCGTCAAAGGGAACCGTTGATTTGAGAAACTATGATGAAACCGATGTTTATGTTGAATTAGAATCAGACAAAGATTACAGTGGCGAAAAATTGAAATCATCAAGAAAAGCCGCTTCATTGTCCCCTTCTGATATTCAAATAAGCGCTTCATTTAATATTAATAGGAATAAATCAAGAGGTGCCAAGAGCCTAGGCAACTTTGAAAATAATCAAGTTCCCAAAGCACAATACGATGAACAATTTCATTCACCGGAAATGGAATTTCTGGAGGCCGAGTGCGCAAGACCTGGACTTTTTAGACACCCAAAATTCTGCAATAAATTTTACATTTGCTATTGGGATCAATGGAAGAAAAAATTCATATTAAATGTATCAAATTGTCCAGTGCATTTGACTTTTGACAGTAGCGCCGGAGCTTGCAACTGGCCTAATGAAGGGCCAGCATGCCAAAGTGGTCATCTTCTCGTCTGATTTATATCATTTTATTGTTTACTAAAATTGCATATCCTTCACTCAAATCATTAATTTATGCTTACTCATATACGTGGTTTCATTGCTCAGCTCAATGGTGACTGAATTGAAAATCATTGTGAAAGTGTCCCTGCGTTTTACAAACCAGTGAAAGTCGATTGGTCGAGGTTTTGATCTAGATCCTTTGATTGTGCCCTTAAAATAGTCACTAAAAATTGTATAAATTAAATTCTCACGTTGATAATTTTTAATTTCGACCCCCATGTATTGAAAAATACTTTTCGATTTTCTTTTTTTTTGCTTTTTTTTTATTTTGTATTTTTCAAACACTCAATTTGTTATTGTATCTTACTGTTCATGGATGACTCATGGCCACTGAAAATTTTACAATTCAGCACTCTATTGATATATATATACTTTTATTGAATAACTTTTATTTTTCAATCTACTAGATAGCATATAAGCATTAATTATAATTTTATTGGATGGAAAAATAAACAAGTACAAAGAAGAAAAATTAGATGGAATAAATTTGAGATAAATGCTATAATTTGAAAAGATTTATCGATGACTAACATTGAAAATGAGAAGCTACAGTGAATTCATGTAATTATTTTTCATTACGCAATAGTGCAGTTGTTACTTAGCCTGACTCCGGTGTTAGCTGTACACTAGGTGATTTATTAATTTGACATACGGCTTGAGCTCTATTAATAAGTCCTCGACAGTACTGGCTCTCGCTAAATTACATACTCGGAAGAGAATATTTGAAGATCTATTACTGCTACTTAACATTCAAATATATGTTGTACAAGTGTAATTATAATCTAGATGAATGTGATTTCGTGGGTTTTAATTTTTTATTAGAATGTCATTATTATATTTATAAGTTGGAGAAAATTTTACAAACTAGGACATGTTCAAAGAGTGGTATGGTTTCCAGCCATAACAAAATATAAGTATGAAAAATAACGGGGAATTCAATACTTTTTAAAACGGTGGGGAATGGATCGTTCATCCATGGTGGGGAAAATGCGTTGGAGGAGTTGGGTGGGGAAAAATAGTTAGTGCTCGTGTACCAGATGGAAGAAAGAGAAAACTGAGAGTACGGAGCTTTAGGTCAGATGGTCGGGGGGCTTGAAAGTTGATATAAAGGCGGGTACGAGGTGACAAGAGCGGTGAACGTATCTAGAACTTCCCACAAGAAGGCAACACACGTCCAACGTCCGGCAGTCCGGGCTGGAGGCTGAAAGATGCAACTTGCCACACCAAAATTTACCATCATGTGAGTTACCATTTATTTTTTGTTCACCAACTCAGCTCAGTCATTTTTTTTGCGTATCTTGCTCATTATTCAGACGTTAATCTCTTATTTATTATATTCATTTTTTTTTCTCTTTACTTGAATGATCTTTATGCGTCAAAATTTATTTTATTATTATTGCAAAAAGAACAAAATACTATGTATTTTAGAGTGAGTAAATTATCTTGAGGGCCGATGTTTAATGGAATTATTTGAAAATAATAATAATAGCAATTATTATTAATAAGGCAACAAGGTCAATTGACCAACTTTTCACTTTCCCTTGGTATAGAAAGTGGAATAAGAAAATGCAATGGTGCGTGAATGAGTACCTCTCTCTTTTTCGCCCTTTACGTTCCTCTCTACACTCACGCACTCGTTTTATTGATAAATAATGGAACAGCTTCCAATTGTTTCATTAAATTTTTTTGCAAATAGTTTCCTCAACAATACTTACCATATTTCAAGATTGGTGTGGTTAGTTGTGCTGGGATTGACGGCTTATCTGGTCGAATCAGCTCAGCCAGACCCACCAGCATCTGGCATTACAACCGTTGGCTCTCTCAGAATAGCCACTGCTGAAGACTGCGCTGGAGTAGTGGCATTTTCCGCAACATTAGGCACGAATAATGTAGGTCTATGAAAATGAGAAAAGTCTTTATTCATTCATTATATTCATTTGATTAATATGATTTTTCTGGCACAGGATGCCCGCCTCATCTTCAGCCAAACGTTGGTCAACAAGGGCGTCGGCTATGTCGCTGAAACAGGTATATTCACAACACATTGCCCTGGACTCTATCAATTTAGTTTCGCTGGATATGGAAGCTCAGATTTGAAATTAACACTCAAGCGAAAAGCCAATAAATCGGAAAACTGGAGACCAATCACATCTGTTGGGCCTGGTGGCGGTGGAGCAAATATTGTACTGTTTGATGCTGAAATTGGTGATCAATTTGCCGTATTTGTTGACGCTGGTAAAGCCACTGAAGGCATGACGTACACTGGTTATCGCGTTTCAAAAAAATAATTAGTAACAAGGAAAGTGAAATGATGAAATTCATTAGGCTGGAATTTTCATTGATAAATCAATGCGAAGGAAATTCAAAATGAAAAAGAAATAATTCGCTGCCCCCACGCTACTCCCGAAGTACCTTTATTTGTGCATGCTAACGTTTTTTTTCTTCTTTCTCCATCTATTAGATTTTACCGAGTGATCCATGGTCGGATCCATTGCAACTACCTGTGATAGCTCCTATTCTGTTCTACGCTACCTACCATAACAACCTGATTTGACTTTTTTTCATTTTAATTACAACTCATTAATTTCTATTTCCAATTTTCTAATACTCTCTCTCTCTCTCTCTCTCTCTCTCTCTCTCTCTCTCTCTCTCTCTCTTCTT